TGCGTTCCAAAAGGCTGGGTTTATGGACTGCTTCTCTGAATTACAGCCTTAGAGGTCAGGGAAGGCCCTCACAGAGAAGTAACCTTCAAACCGAAACCCTGATCATAAAGAGCTTCAGAGAGAACATCGACAAAGGGCCCACAGTAGGACAGATTTGGTGCATTTGAGGTCTGTTGGTGTGACAGTAAATCAGAGTGTGGGAACTGATGCTTGAGCCCTGGACAATACAGTAGGGAGTCAGCCAATGGTCAGGATGCAGGAGTCTCAGCCCCAGTTAATTCCCTAAGGAGTTCATTATGCTTGAAAGGTCTTTTCCATAGATGGTCCAAAGGTGTTTCAGATTTTCACTGAGACTCACTGTTGATGTACTTTGCCTGTAGCTTGAATGAATGTCACTTGAAAGCTTAAAACTTAGACTGCCTCTGTTACCAGGTCCCTATAACCTATAAGTGGTTGCCTACCCTTTAGATCCACTATTTGAGAGCTCAGAAGGCTGAGGATTAGAGGCTTGTAAGTCCCAGGCTGTCCTGGGCTACACAGTGGGACTCTGTCTCCAACAACAGCAAACTATTACAGGAGGAAGGTCCATTTAGAGTTTCTGAGTGGACTCTTTTTTAAGGAACCATTGTACAGTGGCACATGGACCGTGTTGCTCCTCAGGTTTTGTCTGGAGGCCAGGAGGGGAGCATTTGTGGAAGAGCTGCTGGACTTCATTTTTTATCTTGCCTATGCCCTTTGCCCTCTGCCTCTCTTCATCAGATTGAGAATGCCAGCGAGGTGCTCATCACGCCCTTGGAGAAGTTTCGAAAGGAACAGATTGGGGCTGCCAGGGTGAGGATTTTGCAAACTTTGTTCTTACACTTTAGGGTGGATCTGAAGACTGTAGAGCTTCCCCAGTTCCAGCACATCCTCCCAGACGAGGTGGCAGCCCAGCTCCTTTGCAGTTTGCAAGTGGCTGAAAGTGCAGCTGTCCGTGGCTACCATCAGCAGCCATCCCAATGTTCTGTGAGCTGATTGTTTGGTGCAAGTTCATAAACCACCCAAGGCAGAGAGAGGTGCTGCCTCTTTGTGTTAGGTGGCTGTGTGCCTGGACAGTAGTCTGAATGGTCGATCTACTCATTTTTGTGTAATTGTGAGTGTGGAGGAGGACAAAAATTGTGTTTAAGCAGAGTTATAGACTAGGCTTTAGGGACATCAGGACTTCTCATAAGCCTCATTAAGCAAAGTACTTTGCTTATTTCTGTGTGTGTGTGTGTGTGTGTGTGTGTGTGTGTGTGTGTGTGTGTGTGTGTGTACATTTATGCCATAGTGCTTGTGTGGAAGTCTGAGAACAACTTTCAGCAGATGGGATCTGGAGACTGAGTTCAGATCAAGGTCAAGCACCTTTTAATAGCAGAGCTACCTTGCCAGCAGTTAGCTAGAAATGAACTACATTCCTGGCCCTCTGTGGAAATGACCCTGCCTCTGTTAGCTGGTTCAAATCTTCAAGAGAAACTGAAAAACCAGAGAATTAGAGGTGATTTCCAGGGGCAAATATTTTAAGAGCATACATGTTCTTAATCTAGGTCAGACTCATAACTGCATGCATGCTTTAGCCTAGAGATCACTATTCGTTATCACTGACCTTGAGGCACTGAGACCAAACAGCTAGTTCTTTCGTTCTTCCTAATTTTAATTCTTATTGAAAATAGATTTTTTTATACACTATAGTCTGATCATGGTTTCTCTTCCCCCAACTCCTCCCAGATTCTCCGCATATCTCCACCCAACCAAATTACGTATTTCCTTTCTTTCTGTCATTAAAAAAGACAACTAAAAGACAAAACAACCTCCCCCAAAACAAAAAAAAAAAAGACATACACACTTACTCACTTGTAAATCCCATAAAAAACTCAAAATCAGAAACCATATTATATAAACAACTTGTAAGATTAAAAGCAAATGACCAGACAAAGCATTATGAGACAAAACAAAACAAAACAAAACCACCTCAGAAGTACCATTAAACTTTTGTGTTTTCCATCTACTGCTGTGCACAGCCCTGACCTTAAGTGTGATTTGTATACCCAGTAAGATTATGTTGGAGAAAACTAATCTTTGTAATGTGTTACTAGAAGAGGGCAGAGGAAGCCTGTTCCCTTGCATTGACTTAAGTCACTAGCTGGCTGACCTTCAGCAGAGTGTTAGAGGCTACCTGCAGGGGAGATGTTTTTATCCTCATCAATGGCAGCAAAAGGCTGTCTGTCCCACATTTTCTTGACATTCTAGAGGTGTGAATGAACTCAAACACAGCCCCTTGAACCATCTGCAGGGGTGGGGTGTGGTATATGAGTCAACACCACTCTTCCTGTAGAATTTTACTTTGAAAACTGTCCTGGAGAGGTCATCTAAGAGTGAGCTTCTTTCTCTCCCTGTAGCTTCCCTGCCTTCCAATTCCTCCCTCTGCCTTCCAGCAGCTTTGTAGAAATAGTCATACTACTGAAAGGGATGATACTGGTCAAGGCTTTCAGATGGATGCTTGGCTTTAGTTTAAAGGGAAGACAATGGAAGGATTTTTTTTTTTTTTTTTTATCCTAGTGTACAGTGGATTTGTATCCATGTAAGTGAATGTTTAAGAAGAAAGGAAGTATGTATTGTTTTTGTTTCAGAGGTCTGGAACATGTAATTGGAAGGAAGTCTTCTTCTGCTAAAATTCTTGTCCATGACTGAACTTCTCTAAAATAGTGGTTCTAGGGAGCAGCCTTCTCTTGAGTTGCCTGGGCCTGTGTTTTCCAGACACCCATGGCAGAGGCTTCCGAAGGGCTGTGGCAGAGGCAGAGCTGACCTGCCTGTTTGTCATTGTTACATTAGCTACTTCTAATGGAAAGCACAGACATCCTCCCACTCTGGCCCTTCTCTGTATCGTTTTGAGAGTTACCATAGTGACTGGGGAAGAGAAGCACAGTGGTCCTATGACAGGAACATGAGCCTTTGCCTGCAGGTGGGATGTATGTCCCTTCAGGCATGCTGAGTTTCTCTTAGTCATCAAATCACTAATAATTCATTTTGATATTTGGGGTGATTTCTCATCCCTCTTCCTTTGTTATTTCTTGTTTTCTTTCCCAGTAAATCTCCCTCTACTACTACTCTACCCGCCCATACATTTATATCATAGTATTGCATGAATTTAAGAGAAGACAAAGCTTAAAGGCAACCTAGGGAGGTGCCTCAGAGACAAAGGTGCCCTATTGGCTCTTTGCCTATTTTGGGTAGTCAGGAGCTTGTTCCTGAACTCTGCCTATTTGACGCTAAAATTATTTATTTTCTGCTGCTGCCTCTCTTCTCTGCTGCTGCCTTGGTTGCTATAACAACCTGTTGCACAGGGGTTCATGTGAAAGCTGCAGGAAGGGGAGTTTATCTTAGATTCTTTTATTTATTTATTTGTGATCAAATACCCTGACAGAGCAGCTTAAGGAAGAAAGAGTTCATTTTGGCTCACATTTCCAGGATACAGTGTATCATGAAGCACAGTGGTAAGAGCATGAGGTGACTGGTCACATCACATTCTCAGCCAAGAAACAGAGCAGTGAATGCCTGCTTCCCCTCAGGTCTTCTCTCTCTACAATGCAAGATCCCAATCTGACTGGTCTTCCCACAGTGGGAGAGTTTCCCTTCTCCATTAACACAATCAAGACAATCCCCCAGGGGTATGTTGAAGCCTGTCTTCAGGTGATTCCAGATTTTGTCAAGTTGGCAATTAGCACCAACCATAACAGGGCCCTTGGTTATTCTTGTGCTAGAGGATGATGAGGAATAGTGACCCCCCCAGATCTTGACATAACTGTGGCCCCAAGTTTATGTTTCTGAATTGAGCAAGTTGACTTTTTCCGCACAGGAGGTGGAGTGGTAATGCTGTGTTCTGTAATGAAACTGGAATAGACATCTGTGAGTAATGGTTAAGAGTGAGTCTAGAGCTTGGTCAGATTTCACTTCTGCAACTTGCCTGTGAACATTTAGTCATTCATCTGTGATTATGATATTAGGTACACACAAATCATTAAGAATATATGAGAAGGGCTGAAGAAGTGGCTCGGTGGATAAGTGTACATTTTGCTTTTTGCAGAGAGCCTGAGTTTCCTTCTAAGACCCACACAACTGCCTGTAATTCAAGATCCAGGGTGGCTGATGCCCCCTCCTCTGGCCTCTAAGTGCACATATTCACATGTATAAACCCATATACAGATACACACACATTTATACATAGTTAAAAATAAAAACAAACACAAAATAATATATGTGAGAACCTAGTACTATATTCTGCAGTTAGGTTGGTGGATGATAAGCACTGTGGTTGTCCTGGCTGAGAAGAAGGCATTAGACACAAAGCTATAAACAGATGTCTAATTCCAAATTGTGGTATATGCTTAGGGAGGGTTACCTTCATCGAGCTGAGACTTGCAAATCAAATGTTGCATTTGATGAAAAGGAAGTGGTTGCAGATGACAAATACCTTATCCCCATCAGCACTACCACCACTATCACCATTTCCATCATTACTGTCACCATCACCAGTGACAGTAATAGCAGCAGCCCTCCCTACTACCGCCAGCATTAATCACCACCACTGCTACAATTGTCATCATTACCTCCATTGTCTCAGAGTTGCAATTGCTGGAATAAAGCACCATGACCAAAAGCAACCTAAGGAAGATAGGGTTTGGTTACTTTATACTTCAGAGGATATCACCAAAGGAAGTCAGCGGAGGAGTTCAAGGCAGGAACCTGGAGGCAGGAACTGAAACAGAGCCCATGGAAGAACACTGCTTACTGGCTTGCTCCTCATGTCTTGCTCACCTTGCTTTCTTCTAGGATCACCAACTCTGGAGTGGCACCACCACCCATAGTGAACTAGGCCCTTCCTAGTGGTCAATCAATCAAAAAAATGTTCTATAGGCCACTATGGCGGGCGCATTATATCAGTTGATGTTCTTTCTTCACAGATGGCTCTAGCTTGTGTCAAGTTGACATGAAATTTGCCAGCACAACCATTATCACCTTCAGCATCATTGACACCACTACAGCCATGTACCCTCACCATTACTGTGACAATTACTACTGCCACTAGCACCATCAGTGCCACTACCAGTACTACAATGGCCTCTATCACCACCATTATCACACCACCATCGGCACCACAATTATCACCATTATTACCGTCATTGAAATAGACTGAGTGCTATCCATGTGGCAGTCACTTTGCTAAATACTTATGTAGTTTAACTCATTTAATCCAAGTAACTGTGTAAAGAGTGAGCATTCTTATTTTATTGCAGAGTTGTGAGCTGGAAGATGAAACTTGAGCAGTGAACTTATCTAGTCACCCTGTGTTTGTAGAGGAGAAAGTTGAGTCCCAGAAATTGATGCTAATAAAAGGGCTAGAGAGATAGCTTAACAGTTAGGAGGGCATATATGTTCTTCCAGAGGACCCAAGTTCAGTTCCCAGCACCCACATCAGGCAGTTCACAACAGCCTGTAACTCCAGTCCCAGGGCATTCACCTACTACCTTCTGGCTTCCCAGGGCACCTGTACTCACACGCACATACCCATATACAGACACACAGAGATGCACCTAATAAAACACAGTATTTTTTTAATGACCAAAAGGAGGAAGCGACTAGCTAAACACCGGCACTCATCTCCCCATGCTTCATTGACTCTGGATGCAGTGTAATCAACTGTCAAAGACTCCTAGCATCATGACTTCCTCATGTGATGTACTGTATCCTGGAACCAAGCCAGACTGAACCTTTTCTTCCTGCAGTTGCTTTTGTCAAGTGTTATGTGATAGCAGTGAGACAAAGTACTGGTGTACTGTGTTAATATGGGCTTTCCCTGCAGAGGCGTTGGCTCTGTCTCAGCATGGAGGCAACTACTTTTTCTTTCCTTCCTTCCCTCTGTTCCCTTCTCTCATTAAGGCTATCCACTGACCATAGACTGTTGAGGCTCCAGTTGTCTGAAAGTTACAAAATGCTGGTGACTCATGATCACTGGCCTTTCCTTACCTTTGGCCAGTGACCCTGCCTGGCCCTAGGGTGTTGGCCACTAGGCTAGTGAGAGTGGATATGTGTGATGGGAGCACTGAGTGGAGTTGGAGTCCAGCTCTAAGCTTATGGATTAATGTAGAAGAATTGCTTGCCTGGACCTTTCTCAGACTTGGAGGGGCAATGTTACTTCTTCTTCTTCTTCTTCTTCTTCTTTTTCTTCTTCTTCTTCTTCCTCCCCCTCCTCCTCCTCCTCCTCCTCCTCTTCTTTTTTATTTGCAATGTTTCTTCTATAAACCTTTTCTTCACTCATGTTTGCATGGTTCATGGGTTGAGTATGAATAGGATTTTAAGATGCATTCAGATTTATGGGAATGGATTCATGCCTGCTAAGTGTGTATATGATCATTTTCTGCTCTCTGTAAGGCTTGGGTGCTTGCCGTTGACTGAGGTCTCAGTTTGCATTTCTCCCCACTGAGGCCTCTCCTTAGAACCCTCTGTTCTTTTTATTTTTCAAAGCTCTTGCAGTAGTCTGTAATTATACTGCTTAGTTTTTCCTGGTTAATTGTGTTTCTCTTTCCACTAGAACACTCCCATCATGAGAGGAGGAGTCACTGCTCAAAGTAGAGTCTAGGACATAGTGATTGCTAGTCATGAATTTGTTAGATGAATAGAGATGCCTTCTTTATCTGGCTGGAAATGCCTTTGTCTTACAGGCTTTAGAGTGGCACAGAATTATCTCTTTGGTCCCCAGATGAGTCAAAAGCAGACAAACACACTGAGTTAGTGTGCCTGAGCATTCATGTTAGACTTGAACAGCTTCCTAGCCCTGCCCACAGTAGCATGGAGAGCAAGGAGATTGCCTGTTACCGTGTCTCACGGGGGCAGAGCATGGGCTTTACACCTAGATAGTGCTAGCTTGATGTCAACTTTATCATCATCTATGACATTTTGAAATTGGCTTCCTTCTGAGTTTTCTTACCTATAAAATGGGAACTAAAAATGGAACCTTGGTGACTCAAGAACTTGGTGGGAGAACATAGGTTGATATGTACATTATTAAATTATTTTTCATTTTTAGATAATAATTTAAGCTAAAAAGAACTTTTCACCGAAAGGAAAGAATTTTCATGTCTCATTTCCTTGACTCATGTTTACATGGGCCACACCAGGTTTGTACCATGATGTCACTGCTTTCCAGTCTGTCACAATCCAGGCCTTCAAATACTTCTTGGGTGTCCCATTCTGTCATTATCACAAGCCCCACCTATGGGCAGCAGGGATGCTTTTGCTTTTGTTTTGAGGGTGGCCTACCCTCAATGGACATTATCTAAAGAGCAGGAGCATCATCATTTTGGGGAGAGGGGATGGTGAACTGTGAGCACACAAAGGTCAGGAGAGATCCAGCTACTTCACTCCTGTAACCCTGTAACCTCTTACTCTCCCCCCACCCCCACCCCTGCCTCCAGGAAGCCAAAAAGAAGTATGACAAAGAGACAGAGAAGTATTGTGGCATCTTAGAAAAGCATTTGAATTTGTCTTCCAAAAAGAAGGAATCCCAGCTTCAGGAGGTAAGGAACCACAGAGCTCCTGCATGGTGTGAGTTTTTGCATGGTGCTAAAGATATGTGGCAATTGCTGTTTGTGAGCCAATACCTGGATTGGAGGAGTCCTGAGAAACAGGGGCTCCATCCTGAAGCCTCCTCCACGGCTGTTCCCTCCAGCATCCTGATTCCTATGCTCTGTAACCTACTAGTAGCAGAGGAGCAGTGCTGCCTACTTACTACCTGCTGAACGGGCTGTGTGTGTTTCTGGGTGTGCCTCTTCATTTCCAGCTTGGATCTGCTTGCTACTTCTGTCACCCTTGGCCTTAATGCTGCATTTTGACCCTCTTGACCTCCTGCCTTGTATTAGTGACTTAAAAGACTGGCATCTGAAATAATTGGGCTATCTTACCTTAATAACTTTTAATGGATTCTTTTTAGTTTTAATGGCATCTTACTGCCATACATGTATTTTGAATGTTGTTAAACTATTTTACTAAAATATTTTTTGGGCTTGGTGGCAGAAACCTGTAATGCCAGTGCTTGGTAGGCCAAGGAATGAAGATTATGAGTTCAAGGCCATCCAGAAATACATAGAGACCCTGTCTCAAAAAAAGCAAGGGTCAGGAGTATGATCTTAATTGGCAGAGTATAAGGCCATGTGTCCATGGGTGACTTCCCTAGCACCACCCATCACAAGAAAGAAAAGAAGTTTCTCTGACCTGTTCCTGGTTTTCTTGGATTTGAATTTAAATGAACATTATTGGAAGTTCTTTTAAAAAGTGGTTAATTTTGAAAGACAAGTCAGTGTAACATCCATGGAGCTGCCACCATTTTCACACATCCATGAGAGATGAAATTAAAGGGCAGTAGGGTGGAATGATGCTGCCATCTAGTGGATGATGATGATATTTTAAAATGTTGTGTGTTCTTCAATGGCTATGAAGTTTGTATCAAAATAATATTTTGTTCCTTCACCTAATATTCACTGGATACTTCTATGGGTCTGTTCAGGATATGGGTGTTTTGTGGGACTGAAGCAGAAGATTTGCTTTTGTGGAACTTAAAGTTCTGGAGAACTTTTCAAGGAACATGAAATAATTGCTTGCTAGGTCAAGCTGAGGGTATGTGTGTGCTCGAATGCATGCACATGTGTATTTGTGTACATGCACGTGGGTGTGTGTATTTGTATGTGTGTGTGTGTGTGTGTGTGTGTGTGTGTGTGTGTGTATCTGTTGTTTGGTATAGAGTTCAGTAGCTTACCATTTTTCTTTGCTATCATGTTGTTTGATTTCTTTTAAAAGTCCACCTCCATATATTTTCTCTTTGCTTAGTGTATTCCTTAGGTAATAACTTGGTTTTCTGTTAAATTCTGTCTTCAGGCAGACAGCCAAGTGGACCTGGTTCGGCAGCATTTCTATGAAGTGTCTCTGGAGTATGTCTTTAAGGTGCAGGAAGTCCAAGAGAGAAAGATGTTTGAGTTTGTGGAGCCCGTGAGTAGCTGTTTCCTTTCATCTGAACTACCCAGCACATAATAGTGATAATTCTGCCACCACACAGGAGGACGCTGAGCAGCTGCAGTCCATGGCTGTGCCTTCTTTTAAGCAGGGAAAGCCCCATTACTTTGGTTCCCTGTATTCCTCCAAACATGGGAACTGTTCTGTTGTTAGACAACCAATGGTGGAGATAGTACAGTCAGCATCAGCTCCTGTCTCTTGCCGTCTGCTGTTACCCTTTTTGATCTGCAAAGGGAAAGTGTTAAGTGGGATTCAGGGGGGAACAACTCCCTTCCATCTTGCTAGGAAATGGTCACAGTCTAGTAGTTCTGCTTTGCCCCACTCTTCCATCAATCCAGACGGAGGAGTAATTCTAGGAAGCAGTGGAGCATGCACTGTTCTCATTCTGTGCTTGGCTTCAGAGCCCCTCTGCTCCAGTCATCTTCTATGGGAGGTTCTTACATAAGGTGATTTCTCACAGTAGATTTGTCACAGGCAGAGTGGCACAGAGATTCTGCCGAGGGGACCATGATGGAATCTAGACTTGGCCAGTGTTCCACTGGGTGTGAAAGAGTGCCATGTGGGAAAAAGTCTGACCTGATGGTTGTACTACTCCACCTCCTGTGGCACCTGAGCATGGACTCTAAGTTAGGATGACTTTATGGAGACATGAGGGTTGGGAAAGAGATAGGGAAGGGACAGGAGAGGAGTTGCGGGGGAGTTTGATCTTTCAGTAGATATATTTAGCAAATAAAATATCACACCTATTAGTTTGGGTTGAATAACAACCACAAAACCCTCACACACAATAGATGTTTACTTCTCACATGTCTGTCAGGTAAGCTTGTCTTGGCTCATTTGGTTCTTCTCTCTCTTGCCCTTCCTCCTCCTCCCTTCATTACCATCATTATATTTTTCTTAATAAATTTACCGAGGTAATTGAAGCTCTGCTACTTACTAGATGAGACCTTCCACGAGGTTATATCTAAGTGTTTCTATTTCTTCATTTGAAAATGGGATAAAGCCAATATATACCCCCAGATGTTTTAATAATTGAATCATATAATGAAGGTAAAGAAGTAAAAGCATGCACTTATTTCTTGCTGTCCTTTTGTACAATGTAGTTTCAACAGTACTGGGCAGTAGAATCTCCCCAGGGCTCACTGAAATGCAGATTACAGGCCCTGTTCTTAGTGTCAGGATTGGGATAGAACAGGGCGAGTTCTTCAAAATTCCTGCTTTACAGAAAGTTTGTCCCAAACATTGCAGAAGAACCTTGGGTTACTGTCCAGGCAACCAGCTGTTTCTGTCATTTCACACATTTTTTTGGAAGTCTCTTGCTCGCACTTCCTGTTTACTCAGTTGATATTATTTTCTTCTTGATTCTGTGAGGCAGTTGAAGACTAGATAGTATAGTTATAATTTTCCTTGTTTACCAGACTCAGAAAAGAAACTCACTAAGGAAATGTAAAGTATAAAAGTTTGAGAGACATTAAAAGATAATTTGATAATGCGAATTAGAATAGAAAGTTAAATTAGGTACCAGACTTTGGACTCACCAAGCTAGGATAGATAACGGAGTATTTTCTCTTAATTTGTCAAATGCAAATGTACTAGACATTGTTTATATACTTTTTACCTGTATATATTATATATAGTTATTGTACATAGTTTTCTTAGGTTAGTTGTAGCCTTCCTTTTTGTATTAGACAAAAAGGGGAATTGTGGTGATATATTGTTTATGATTTAATAAAGTTTGCCTGGGGATCAGAGTGCAAAGCTAGCCACACTAGTTAACCATAGATGCCAGGCAGTGGTGGTACTCACCTTTAATCCCAGGACGCAGGAGACAGAGGCAGAGGGATCTCTGTGAGTCCAAGACTACCCTGGGCTACACGAGAGTGAATCAGTCTAAAAGAGTAAAAACTCACACTTTTAATCCCAGCACTAGAGAGGTATATAAGGAAGAAGCAAAGGTTCTCATGTGAGATTCATTTTCTAGTCACAGGGAAGACAGGGTCTCCATTTCAGCCTTGGCAGAGATAACAGCTACTGGCTGGATGCTTTTCTTTTCTGATCTTCAACTTGAACCTCCAAAATCTGTCTCTAGATTTTTATTACTTGTGCCACACCTGCCCCCCAAAGTCTGTCTTTGAGGTCCTAACCTGAAGTTTAGGTTTAATAAGTAGGTAAGAGGTATGGCTAAGTATTCCTGGTCAAGGTGCCATCCTGCCTATAACTGTTTCAGCTCTAGTCTGTCCTGCAAGGTGATTGGGTGGGTTGTCAAACTGTGAAATCTCTTCTCAAATAACATCTTTGTCCTCAGGCCAGCCCTAGGCTGCAGAGACACCCCTTCCTTCTCCTAGTGTGAGATCCCTGCAGGGGTACAAGTGACTCTTCTTAAAATATACTCATTCCTGCCATTTTGTTTACACCAGTACAAAGTCCTTTGATAGGCTGGGCTGGGCATGTGGTTTATCCTGTTGGTAGCATCCCTACTCTGGCGCTAATCATTTCCTGCCAGAAGCAGGTACAAACTACAGGGAGAAATCCCTTCACAGGTTTCAGTAGACCTGCCTCTCTGAAAAGTGGAGTGGGTGAATATAAGTACAGATGTGTTCGTGGAGGGGCTGAAAAGCTAACCACAGCAGCAGAAAGGAAAATAGATGCATTTCTGACTAACAGGTGGTGATGGGATCTGGAGGTTAGAGTGGACCACTTAGCAAACAACTGTGATCTCACAGAGTGAAGGTTCTTCCCAGATTTCTTCTATATTTTACCACAGCTCCTTTTTCATGTCAAAGCTGTGAATGCAGGCAATCTGGGGAGGTCTTGGCAAGTGGCTGGGATATTCATGTCAAAAATGTCAGCTTTGTAAAGAAGTACAATGGAATGTTGTTGGTGAGGTGTAGGGTAGTTGTTGAGAATCTGAGTTTTGGGATAAACTGTGGTGAGCAGGTGTTTTTATTTTTTTTCCCCATTTTGTGTAACAGAGACTAGATCATGAATACACTTACCTATTAGCCTTAGAGGATTTAAAGAGAGTCAAGGGACTTAGCACAATTGAAGCCAGGGAAGTGTGTGGTTGCTTGATAAAGGGATTTTTATTGTTTACTGTGGGAAAGTTGAAGAAAGCACAGAAGTGCCCCTTGGTGGAAGTCTATTCTGGGTGGCTTTCTGTGATTTGACTTCGCTGGTTAGATTACAGGTTCAGAGCTCGCCAGCTTCCTTAACACATTCTGAGTCATGTGACAACCTGATGTTATTAATGTTCAGCAGCTGAGGTGCAGCTTCAGCCAGTAGTTCTGAAAAGGTGATGTTCTTAGGCAATGGTAAGCATTGGTGCCAAGGAGAACAGGTTTCAAATCCTGGCTGTTAATCATCGTGAAGTAAGGGGCAAGTTACTTAGCCTCCAAAGGTGCCTCCTCCTTATTTAAGAGTGTCCTATTAGCACTTAAGTCATAGGTGATGTGATACAGGGCATGGAGGACACAGCATCCCACACACAGAGCTGCTCAGTGTATGTTAGTGTCATTACTACCTGTTCCATGCTTCCCAGACAGCGTTAGAAACCCAGATCCTGCTCCTTCTGTTCTCTTCTCAGTCGGCCTTTGTGACCTCTGCCCTTTTTCCCTCTTCACAGCTCCTGGCCTTCCTGCAAGGACTCTTCACTTTCTATCACCATGGTTATGAGCTGGCCAAGGACTTTGGTGACTTTAAGACACAGTTGACCATCAGCATACAAAATGTGAGTGGGGGCAGAGACCAGAGAGGGAAACAGGAGAGGGTGTGTTTGCTCCAGAGTTCCCCTCAAGCATTGGAATGAGGTGTGTGGGGTGGGTTCCTGGCTGGGTTCAGAGGAGGACAGCGGGAATCTGACATTTCTAGAATGTAAGATGGCCCAGGTCTGAGCACCATTTCTGTTCCTGGAAGTGTTGCTGCTGGTATTGTGAGTTTTTCACAGCAGCGTCAGAATTTCCCTTGACAGTGGAAATCCCAACTTAGCCCAGACTAGTTGCCTTCTGTGCAAGCAGCTGCCTGGTCACCTGAGGCCTTACATGAGTGTCCAGGGGTGAAAACTCAAATGGTATACTCTTGCCAGGCAAGACTGACAGGACATGTGAGTCAGTGCCATCCAAATGCTGCTGCCTCTGTTGCTTAAATCTGGAACCTTTGGGTGTGCAGAGTTGTTTAGGGTATTTGGGGCATAAGTCATAAGGCAAGCTCTCCTCTTACTTTGGAATTGGCCACAAGTCCCAAGGTATTCATGCATCAGGCATTTCTGCATGGCTTGTCCTTCATGGCCTCAGAAGTTTGGAACTTACTTGCTGGTTCTTTGTTGACTTGGAGAACAGGAAGTTGAGGAATATGTC